GTGTGTACAAGCTGGAGTATATGTGCAGCTGCGTGTGCTCTCACGCCAACGATGGTGTGTTTGGAGTGTCACACTCGTGCCTACGCATTCAGTCTGGTGTCTTCCCCAGGAGTGACTTACACAGGGGTAGAGGTGGGTCGTGCCTTCCATAACCAAAGGAGATTTAGGTTTGTTAATCTCAAACCGCCAAGGGCTGGCTTTGGGTGGGGTCAGTCTCTGAGTACCGTCCCCCCCCGCCCCTCCTCCCGGCTCTGCCCACGTGGCCGTGACGTGCCCTCACCTCTGGTCTAGGAAGAAGCCCCTGGAGAAGCACAAGAAGCTGCTCTGGTACTACGTGGCCTTCTTCACCTCGCCCTTCGTGGTCTTCTCCTGGAACGTGGTCTTCTACATCGCCTTCCTGCTGCTGTTCGCCTACGTGCTGCTCATGGACTTCCACACGGTGCCCCAGCCCCCCGAGCTGGTCCTCTACGCGCTGGTCTTTGTCCTCTTCTGTGACGAAGTGAGACAGGTAGGACCACCTTGAGGCCGGGCACCTCGTCCTTTCCTCAGTGAGCGGTGTTTTTCAAAACAGGTCACTCCTGAAGTTTGACAGTCACAATGTTCCCAGAGTAAACGCTCCTGTTAGGTCCGTGCCAATGAGATCTCTCAGAGCTGTGCTCACCCTTGGCGAGGGTCGCTCCATTAGGTTGATCGATGGAGATGAATTAGTCAGGAATGGGGACATGTTCAAAGGGAAGAGAGCTTGGACTTTGAGCCCGCTGCTGTCATCAGGAGCAGTTGTGTACCTGCCATGGCCACACAGTGCGACAAGGGGAGGGGACTGTCAGTTCTTCCCTGCCGAGAGCCTCTTAACATCCAGTGTGTCAGAGTGGTAGAGTTTCAAAGTCTTGTAAGACTTGATTTTAGGAACTTTGTGCTGCCCTGCAATTTCTTAGGCTCTGCAATTTTTTAGACTCTCTCTCTACCACTGAATCTAAAACTCTAGCCCGGACCTCCCGTGCAGTAGGGGTTTCACCAGTAGTAGTTGGAGAAATAAATGTTTGCGATGAAGGATGATACTATCCGCAGACCAGGATGAACAGTTATCCCAGCAAATCTTTCCAGATTTAGCAGCAGTTTACAGAATGTTTGAGGACTGCTGTTGGTGTCACTTCTCTTGTCCCTTCTGAAACCAAATCCAAAAATATGCATCAACTCAGCAAGTGTCCCGGGAGCATGCAGTTTGTGACATATGCTGGCACATGCTACAGAGATCTGGCCAGGGGAGGGTGCTGTTCTGGCCCCTATAGAGCCACTGACTGGTGGCAGAGTCCTTGTTGGCTTAAACCATCATGCCAATGCTGGTAGAATTTTTTTTTTTTTTTGATGACTTCCAGAAGTCCTGGGTTGAGAAAGATTTGAGGGTCCGTGTGTCTCAGCAGGAGCGTGTCCTGGTCAGTGAGTGAGTCTGCAGGGGGTGTGAGCAGGGAGGGTCCTGGCACCAGTGCGCTGTGCCCCCCTTCCCTCACCTCACAGGATGGAGGTGCTGAGGGGGCGATGTGGAGGCAGAGGAGGGATGATGAAATGATATTCAGCAGTGTGGGACACGGCAGGATTAGCAGGCTTTCTGGGTCTTGCTAGAGTGCAGGCGTTTCTGCAGCTTCAGATCATCGTCCCGAGGCCACACCTGTGTTAGTTTGTGTGGCCACCGTGGCAGTGCCCCACAGACTGCATGGCTGATGTGACAGAGGTTTGATGTCTCACGGTTCTGGACACCTGAAGTCTGGGATCGTTTGTTGGCAGAGTTGCTCCTCCTGATGGCGGGAGGGAGGGTCTGTCCTGTGCCTCTCCCCGTGGCGGGCTTTACCATTCCTCGATTTGCTGAAGCATCACTTCAGTCCCTGCCCTCACGTCCATACCGTGTTCTCCCTGTGTGCTTGTCTGTGTCCCCGTTCCCACTTTTCCTAAGGATCAAGGCCCATCCAACTTCAGCGTGGTTTCACCTTTGCCTTGTTAGTTATTTCTGCAGTGACACTATGTCCAAACAAGTCCACATTCCCAGGTAGTGGGGGGTAGGACTTCAGTGTATGAATTTGGGGACACACTTCTACTCATGACACCTGCCACCTTATCTCTTTCTCTCAGCTGCCACCTTTTACTTCTTAGTTCTGTGTTTTAATTACTGAGTGTTGGCAGCAGCAAGGACATGAAAATACCCTGCTTGGGAGAAGCAGAGAGAGATGGAGGAGATTCAGCATTGAAAGAGGACGGGCCCAGACCAGAGTGAGAAAGAGAGGACAGCACTTGTCTAACCAGAAGCCCGAGCGAGTTGCAGGGGCTCGCACAGCACGAGGGCAGGTGTTTTCCGTTTCCTAATTGTTGTGTCTGCAAACTGGTGTGGTCGAGTCCCAGGGCCTCAGCTTCTCATTCCTCCATTCATGTTCGACCTCAGGGGCTGGCACATGAGCTGGGTGGACACATTTCTGGCAGGCGTTTATGTTTTTTTTTTTTTTTTTTGAGACAGAGCCTCAAGCTGTCCCCCTGGGCAGAGTGTCGTGGCATTACAGCTCACAGCAACCTCCAACTCCTGGGCTCAAGCGAGTCTCCTGCCTCCGCCTCCCAAGTAGCTGGGACTACAGGCGCCCGCCACAACGCCCGGCTATTTTTTGGTTGCAGCTGTCATTGTTGTTTGGCGGGTCTGGGCTGGGGATTCGAACCCGCCACCTTAGGTGTACGTGGCTGGCGCCTTAGCCGGTTGAACTATGGGTGCCAAGCCGCGTGTATGTTTTTAATAAATGAATTTGGCAGGCAGGGTCTTCACAATTCAACACTAGAGTTAAGGGCTGTGTGGGTGGCCTTGGTGATGGCTCATGAGACCAGCGCTTGGTTGCTGTGGGGGGACACCCTGCCTGCGCCCCTGGCATGAAGGTGCTCGTGGGCACCCTTTTGGCAGAGGGTGCTTTGGTGGCCTCTTGGAATGGTTGGTAAACAGTCAAAAGTCTTCTTCCTGCTCCTTCAGAGGCCTGGCGTTCCCAGACGTTTTCCCCTGGTCCTGTCCCTGCCCCGTCTCCTGCTGCACTTAGACACGGAAGCTGGCATTCGAGTCCACATGTTACTTGGTCCCTTCTGGCATCTATAGAAGCCACAGAGCTGGGAGAGGGACTTACTCCAGGGCCCTGTGGAAGGCAGAGCTTGTTGGGTGGAGGTGCAGAGAGATGCATCTTGGCTCACACCAAGTATTTCAGGAGCGTGTTTTTCCTTCCAACAAGCATTTGGGCATCTTCTATTTGCCAGACACTGTTCTGGGCATTGGAGATTCAGCCATGAACCAGACTAATATCTCTGCCCTTCTGGAGCTTTCCACCAGTTGGAGATGATTTCTGGGAGCTTTCAAGGAGAGGGGAGGAGCACTGGAGCAACACAGAGGGGGCGAATCTCACATTTGTGGGGCCATGGGCCCCGGGGAATTGCAATGGTAAAGCCTGAATTTGTAAATTGCCGACATCTCCACGTCAATTTTGTGTGTGCACTCAGCTCCTAAGTCACCTGTGCGGTCACACAGGAGGAGCACATTTTACTTGCGGAAGGCCCTGGGCAGGCGTGGCATGAGGGTTGGTCAGGGAGGACACAGACCAGGCAGGGACACTGGGTGAGAGTGGACAGCAGGGGCAGGTGGCATGCGGGAGGAAGAGATAGGCGTCCTGCCTATCCCATCTGCCTTTATCATGGGTGATGCTGGCTATAAGGGGAGCAGTGCAGGTGTTCAATAAGTGTCTCTTCTCTTTGTTTTTAAGAATTATCTTTGAATGGGCCAGTTTAAATTCAGCAGCACTGAATTCAACAGCATATGAAAGCAATAGGACTGGAAGCCCTGAGCCGAGAGGCAGCAGCTGAAACCAAGGCCCGGAGACGCTAAGCAGCTGCCCAGAAAGTGGCAGCCTCGTGGTTCTGAGTCTCAGCGGCTTCTCCATGTTGCTCTTCAGATCCCACCTTCCCACTCTGGTCTGGGCTCGTCTATCCTCTTCAATGCTCGCTGGGGCTCTGCCCTCTGCCGCCTGAGGTCTTCAGCAGCCTTTCGTCTCTGCTCTGGGGTCCTGAGTGCGTCCAGGGAACACAGCCATGGAGATGCTTGTTGTTCAGAGAATCCGACACTCGGGGTCGCTGTTTCTCTTCTTGTCTGCAGACGTGTGCACTTGCCATGCTGAAGGCGGTTGGTCATCTGGAGGAAAGAGTTCTGCTGGCCTGGTTGCTGTCATTAACCTAGGTCCCACTTGTTAGGGGCAAAAACCCCAAATAGGTTCTACCTGTTTTAGATTGTGTCTGGGGTCGGAAGCTATTAGTGTTAGTGTCTCCCTCTGTGCCCTGGCCCAGATGCAAATGTTGGTATGCTGATTTGGAGTTTTGAACTGAGGTAGTCAATAAGTGCAGATGCGGTTGCTAAATAACCTTTGGTTCCATTAAACAGACAGTGTGGATGTTTATTTAAAATGGGATGAATCCCATTGTGTCTTCACAGAGGGCACTGGTCAATCTTGAGGCCCGTTGAATTTCCAAATCCTGAGAGATATGAAGAAATACAGTCTTGGCATTTTATGAATCAGCCTATCGCTGGCATTCTGCTCAGAAAAGAGGCCTCTTTTCATTTTCAAAAGTGTTTTCTGCCTGCAATGGTACCTCAGAGGCCCAGAATTGACCCATTTACGGTGTCTCCTGCCGTGTGGGCCAGCTTCTGAAGGTCACCTGGGCCTGGGCTGGGCGAGGGCAGTGCAGGTTCACTGGTCCCTACCTGCCTGGGAGACCAGGTCTTAAAGGGGGGAACTGGAAACAGGTGGGGCCTGTCTCAACCACCCTCATCTTGCCGGGCAGCAGAAGAGCAGATGGCTATTGGTGGATGATAACTGGGACTGCTGGGGCCAGCCAAGTGGGCAGGTCCTGCTGCCTCCCCAGGGATCCCACCTGGTGTCGGAGCCTGAGGGTTCAGGCCTCACACAGCAGAATGTCATCAAACTGGAGCTGCTGGAACCTTGATTTCATAATGCCCTCTTCCCCGTGGTCCACCCAAGTTTTATTTAAACTTATAAATGAAGGAGAGGAAATCCTCCTGGAGACATTGACAGTGTGTCCGGAATCCCTTCCGTGTCTGAAAGTGTCAGGTCTCTGTGGGATCTGAAGAGGCAGGGCGACCTGGGGGGAAGCTGCTGAGAACCACGAGGCTGCCACTTCCTGGGCAGCTGCTTGGCCTCTCTGGGCCTCACCTTCAGTTGCAAAGTGGGAAATATGATATCCGACTATCAGATGGACTTCCACGGGTGAGCTCACTTAGTAAAATGACCACGCACCGTGCTCCTTTGGGGGTGCGTCTTTGCTGCGATCCTGCCTCACACAGTGCTGGTTCCTCATGTGAACTCACTTGGGGCGTCAGTGTCATCGCACGCCACACGCCACCACATTTCCTTTTCAACCTGTTTAACATCTGTCTTGGGTCCCACAGACACTGGATTTCCTGAGAATCAGCATTGTACCTAATCCACCGTCTTGGCATCCCAGGAGCCTGGGTTGGGGTATTCCATGTGCTCTCAGGAAATCTATTTGGAATAAATGGGCAAAGAAAGGGGCTAGATGAGCACCCCGGAATCACTCGAACCCAGCTGATGGGTGCTGTAAAGGCTGTCCAGGCGCAGTCTTCTAAGGGGCAGCCTTTCCCTCTGTCTCAGTGTTTCCCCGATATACCATTTTCCTGAACAGTCATGACTGATACACACGCTGTTTGTACCTGTTATTTCTGAGACCACATCTGTCTTCACAGGTGCCTCATATAGCACCTGTGTATAATTTTTTTAGAAAAGGTTTCTTTTATTTTTATCTATTTATATTTGAAATTAGTATGAGGGTACAATGTTGTAGGTTACATTGTTCTCACTTCCAAGGTAAAGTTCATTCATGTTATGGCTGAGCCCTTCCCCCAGGGGGTGTGCTGAACACCCTCACTCTGTGCACATCAGTTGAGATCCACAATCACCCTTTCCACGCTCTCCTCTCCCCCTCCTCCTTGATAGACTATATTTGTGTTTTCTAGTTCATGTGTGCATGTAATTGTTTATATATTAGAAACAATATCCAATGTATTCAATCCTAGTATAAAAAGGTTTCTTTTAATCAAGATGTTTTACTGCTATGGCATTAAACTATTATATAGTAAACAGATAAATCTCTGATGGCAACAGTATGGGTAACACCTTCTAGAATTGTGCAGGGCACAGCTTGCACCACCATACGTGGCTAGACGTTCCCCATTTGACTACCCAGGTCATACTTGCTCTCTGTGTGTTCCCCTTTGAAAAACAGTGGTGGGGCTCACTTGGTACATAAAAGAGTCAACAAGCACATCAATGACTCAAAAAGACCTGGAAAAAATGAGTGGACATTTAAAAATCTGGAAATGGTTGATGTTCCAAGCTGCTGATGTCCCTTCTCTGTCCCTTTCTGTGCACAGTGGTACGTAAATGGGGTGAATTATTTTACCGACCTGTGGAATGTTATGGACACGCTGGGCCTTTTTTACTTCATCGCAGGAATTGCATTCCGGTAAGTGGTCCTCAGCCCTTTCCCTGGTGCTAGGTATTTGGGGCACAAAAGTGAAGAATAGCTCTTTGTACATTTCAGTTCCAAGGGCAGTCTTTTGTTTGGTTTGGTTCTGTCTCCCCCATTAGAGATTTTTACAGAAGGCCGCTGTGTCTTCCTTTTACAGACACACCTCGTTTGGCACAAACTGGCATTTCTTCCCTTCCCCTTCCCAGTGATCAGTCAGTAAAGTGGGATTCAGTTTTTATGATTTTCTCTTTGTTCTTATAGACATTGGGGAGAGATCATCAGAGCTGGGGAGTGAAGAGGATGACAAAGCTGTTAAATATTGAACAGATTGGGGTCATTTCAGGCCACGTGATCTGAAATGCAGTTAACTTTTACTTGAATGGTGGCTGTGGCATCTGCCCTCCCATTGCAAGCATTTTCCTCAATCCCAAAGCCAGAGTGTGGTAAGAGGACAGCCAATCCAAGATTACCAGGAAAGGCAAAAATCTAAGGACCCACATGCGATAGAGAGATTGGGGTGCGCCCCAAGCCGTGGCTCGCATTGCCATGCCTGTGTTCCTCCGGGCCTGTCTTCCCCAAACAGCTTTAAGATAAAGCTAGTAATTATATTTGAGCAGTGCTTCTAAAGGGTGTCGCTTTGCAGAGAAGCTTAACTGTTCACACGCACACCTATAAAGCATCAGACAGTTTATGCTGAGTGCTCACCCACCAGTCTGAAAGGGTAGCAACTCCATTTCTTCCTCAAATAACCTCCCTTTCTGTGTGAGTTGAAGTTCCCAGCATTTGAACCACAGTTGGCTGGATGTGACTCCTACATCGTCCAGTTAACAAGCACAGATAGCTGTCAGTGATCACATTAGCAGGGGGCTGGCTAATCAGAGGGTCTGGTGTGAACAAGGCAAGTGTCATGGGGGGAGAGCTGGCAAGGAAAGTCACAAATGGTGGGAGGATGTGTTTGGAACCAGCTTCGTTAGAGCAGCCTGTGAACCAAGCAGTCAGAGCTGATATGACTGGGACCCTGCAGTGGTGTCTGTGCCTGAGAGCTCTGACTGAGTGCTGTCCTTACATTCAGGGTCCTCTCTTGTCCTTGCCTCTACTCGAGTCCACAAGGGCAGAAGACCATGGCCTTGGGTGGGTGGTGTTCCTGGCCCATTTCCACTCACCCACTCTCCCAGCTCTTGGTTGGCTCAGTGTCATCAGTTTCTTTGTAGAAACAAAACTTTGGAATGTTTTGTCAACATCTCACAAATTCTCTTTCCTCTTTTTCTGTAGGCTCCACAATTCTAATAAAAGCTCTTTGTATTCTGGAAGAGTCATTTTCTGCCTGGATTACATCATTTTCACTCTAAGGCTGATCCACATTTTCACCGTAAGCAGAAACTTAGGACCCAAGATTATAATGCTGCAGAGGATGGTAAGAGCCAACAATATTTGCAGTCAGCAGTTTTCTTGGTGTCCTCAGAGTTCCTTTAATCGTTGACAGGAGGGATTTTGTCCTTAGGATGACTGTTGCATTTCACAAACAGTAAGGTTTACTTTCTTTGATGTGTTTCATCAGGGGACATCTCCCAGGTTAAAATTTAACAAAAGATGGTTGTCAGGAGCAAATAACATCAGTCAGTGCACTGCCAATAACATCACACTTAGGTTTACACTTTACAAAGTGCTTTCATTTGAGTCTTAACAATTGGCTAAGAGTGTAGAAAGGAGAGGGACTTTTATACCAGTTTTAGAGATGTGGACAGGTGAGTCCAAAGAGGTTGGTCTATTTAGGGATAAGAAGTATCGCCAGATTCATAGTGAAGGCTGGACCCTAAGTCTCATAACTGTAATGTAGACACAGGGAAAGGTGGTGTCAGACTGTTCTGCACACGTGACAGGGTTGCACACTGATGGTGACACTTCCCTAAGTTTGTTTCCCAGATGACCCAAACGTCCACTGTTCCGCCTTTAAATCAGATGGCATTTGGATTAGCTCATCTGGAAGTCCCTTTCCAGTACTGAGGTTCTTGGAGTTTGTGGTTTTAATTCAAAGCATATCTGAGGCATCCAGTTAGCATGAAGTCATGCTATGTGGGCAAAAAAAATTAAAAAAATTAAACTGTTCATTCCCATCTAATAAGGATGGCTTTTATTAAAAAACAAAAAATAACAATGAAAATAATTTAGGGATTTGAAGAATATGAACAACATTTTTTTTCAGGGTATATCTGGCTTTATTCCTTTAATTTTTAGAAATTGGTTTATGTGTACAAATGTACAGGTTATGTGAGCAATTCTGCTCCGTGCACAGATTGGGCAGTGACCTAGCCGAGGGCTTTAGGGCATCTCCCACCTAAACAACGCACACAGTGTGGAATGAGGGGTAAGACAGAGGGGCCCTCCCAATCTCGGGTTCCTCCTTTGTTCTTGAGCTGGACTCTCACTCAGAAAGACTGCTGAGCCCAGCAAGCAAAAATGCATCCATTGTTTTTAATGATGGAAAATAGATGTCCCAAGACCTAAAGATGATGTCAGTGGTTTTTATAAATTAGTGCATGAACTCCGGTGACTTAGATTTTCCTGGGCCTTGGACCTCTGCCCTTCTCTGGGGTCCATTGAGAATGGCTAGGCAGCTGGTCCAGGCAACCATGGGCTCAGTCCTGACTTCATTCTGATGTCCAGCTGGTCCAGACGGCTGTGGCTGCGGCCCTGACTTTGTTCTGATGTCCAGCTAGTCCAGGTGACTGTGGGCTCAGTCCTGACTTTTTTCTCATGTCCAGCTGGTCCAGGTGACCGTGGCCATGGCCCTGACTTCGTTCTGATATCCCCCTGCTCCAGGCGACCATGGGTGCAGCCCTGATTTCGTTCTGATGTCCAGCTGGTCCGGGCGACCGTGGCCATGGCCCTGACTTAATTCTGATGTCCTCTCTTGGCAGATGATCGATGTGTTCTTCTTCTTGTTCCTCTTTGCGGTGTGGATGGTGGCCTTTGGGGTGGCCAGGCAGGGGATCCTCAGGCAAAACGAGCATCGCTGGAGATGGATATTCCGCTCGGTCATTTATGAGCCCTACCTGGCCATGTTTGGCCAGGTGCCCAGTGACGTGGATGGTAAGCCTGACATGGCTCAGGTGGGTACAACTGGGAGGAGTTGGCAGCTTCCTGAACCCGCCTCCAGGGCTGACCTCTGCTGCCGTGGGTTGAACGCTGTGCATTGAAAACTAGTCCCTCAAAACTTTCCCCTAAGCAAGATTTTACGTCAGCCCTTACAGACTTGTGCCCAATGTTTTAGTTTTTAAACCTTTAAAAAAAATAGTGTTTCTCTTATTCTTAGTAGCAAGGTGGCCATGGAAAGCAGAAGACTCCCTAGTTTAGCAGGCGTGTTGTGAGTCACGCTCTCCTGTATGACAGAGTGACTGGGAGCCTCCTTTCAAAAAGAGCAATATTGAAAACTTCATGTTGGAACTTGGAATTAAAACTTTCAGCAGTAGCCACTGCCAGTTGGTTTTTGGAGGCTAATGGTGGCACAGACCCAGTTTGCATGAGGCAAGCGTGGCGGTGCAAACTGGGCATGTTTGGAAGGCGCCTGCTGGAGTATCTGGCCAACACTGACAGCAGCCTTGGCCCAGTACGTCCTATCCCACCACCCTAAAATGATCCTGATGGTTTTTTCCAGTCAGTGCCTGCCCTGTGGTCCCGTTTCTCAGTCCCCTTGGTTTTCTTTGTCAGCCCCCTCGCCTTGTGCAGGGGATCCCAAGCCTCTCTCAAGCTTCAGCAGAGAAACAGCCCTTTTTCCGTGTGGCCATGGAAGGCACCTTGTGTCGTCACCGAGTTCTGAACACCATGCTCGCCATTTCACACAAGCTTAGACACATCTCCTCCCTGACACCCCTCCGTGCCCCACTGGTGGCTTTAGTCTCCAATGGGGGGCAGCCCCGGGGATCTAAGGAGAAGTGGCAGGTGGGGTTTAGACACTAATGCGCTGTGTGCACTGGGAAGCAGGTCCCCCTGGCTGCCCGTGGTTCTACGAGGGGCAGACCTGACACAGCACCTCTCAGGCGAGGGTCTCTGGCCCAGTGCCACTCTCAGAGGCCACACATATGTGCCATTGCCTGTCCTTAGAGATTTCCCAGACACACCTCAGCATATCCAGATGAAATATCTCGATGCTGCCTTTCAGATGCCGACCTCCTCCACAGAGGGTCTGACACCACCATCCCTGCAGCTGTACCTGTCACAAGCCTCAGTGGCGTCCTTGCCACTGCCTCTGACTTCATCCCCCATCCAATTCCTCAGCTATTTTATCTCCTAAATGTTTCTGCTTTTTTCACCCCCACCCCCAACCCATTCTCATCAGTGGCCTGCCTGACTCTGTGTCCCAACCTCCCTACGGTCCCCTCTGGCTCCTGAGCTCCACTGCAGCCAGGTGATGCTTTATCCTCTAATGAAGAACATGCACTGTGTGGTTCTTCTGGCTAAAGCGGTCTGATGGCTGCTCACCATTTTTACCTCAAAGATAAAAGCATCACATCCAGTCGCTGCACGTCGCTTCTTTCATTTCCACGCAGGCCTCTGCACAGGCTGCTGCCTCTGTCAGGATGCCCTGGGCACTGCCGGCCTCCTTGCTCACCCTCTGCTCTCAGCCCAGGCCCTTCCTTCCTGGGCAGGCGGGTCCGGGGGCTGCCTGGTGTAGGACACGATGCACCTTCTGCATGTCCTTTACAGCCCGTCTCATGAGCTAGTATTGTAGCTTGTGTGGCTGATTATCTGTCAACCTGAAGAGGCTGGAAGTGTCCTGAGGGCAAACCACTTGTCTGCTTTGCCTTCCCTTTCGTCCTGATCTTAGGAAATTCACTGGTTCCTACAAGCTGCTCAGTGAGTGTGAGTCCAGCGGGAGAGTGGGCGGCTCTAAGGACTGTGCCTTGTTTGGGTGAAGAGCCTCAGAGCAGTGCCTAGGATGCCCCACGGCATCTTGTGACCCCAGGGGTGCCCGTGCCCTCACCGATGGCTCCAAAGGGCCCTCACTTTGCCTCTGGGCTTCTCCGTCCCCAGGTACCACCTACGACTTCTCCCACTGCACCTTCACGGGGAACGAGTCCAAGCCCCTATGTGTGGAGCTGGACGAGCACAACCTGCCACGCTTCCCCGAGTGGATCACCATCCCCCTGGTGTGCATCTACATGCTGTCCACCAACATCCTGCTGGTCAACCTGCTGGTCGCCATGTTCGGGTATGTGCGCGGCCATGCGCCCACCAGATGTCCGCCCTGGGCCAGGCCTGGGCCAGGCGGGGCTGGGGGTGCTAGGAGCACAGTGGCAATGGTCCACTTGAGGGACTTACATTAGAGGTCTTGAGGGGATTGGTAGTTTGGAGGTGCTGGTGACCTTTAAGGGACCATATTGTGTCCCTAGGGCTATGCTTTAAGTTTATTTGATGCCAAAGACAAGAACCGTGGTGACCTCCAGTAACCCAGACAGTACGTTCAGCACTGGACTGTTGAGATGTTGCTATGCTGGGGACCAAAATGCGGTTCAACTCATCTCCAAGATGCCTTGCCTTTTGTGGGTCCAATGGTATGGATTCTAGGATTTGAAGGGCTCAGACTTTAGAGAGTTGCTGTTTTAAAAATTTTAGTTAAACCCAAAATACAAAGAGCAGAGTCTGGAGAATGACTCCCTTTAGGGCTCACGTCTTAACAAGGTTGAGGAAGAAAAATGTGACTCTGAAATATTTTCACTGGCTTTGGGCAATTCTCCTTAAGATATTTAGAAAATGATGTTTTTCGTTTCCTCTCCATCTTCCTTGGGAGAGTTTCTAAAAGTCCCATGTGGTGGTTTCAGTGGGAGTTCAATTTTCATATTGCTCTTTTAAGGTAGGGAGTCATTTTAAGTACATGAATCCCAGAACAGTCAGACAGACAATTAACCAAAAAATATGCAAATTTAAGAACCTTGAGGTGGAAGAGAACTTTTTAGTGAAAACCAGAAATCCAGAAGCTGTGACTGAGAAGATAAACACATTTAATTTCATAAAGAACTTTTTAAGGTAAAAGATATGTCGAATGAAGTAACGTGATAAATGACGGAAATATTCACGATGCCTGTGATGAACAAAGGCTTTTAATTCTTAATATAGAAAGAACTCCTGCAAATTTATAAGGGAAAGACAACTTCATTGAAAAATTGTCACAGAAAATGAGCATGTGATTCAGAGGAGGAAAATTCAATGGCTAATAAATCTCTGACAAGGGACTAAACCTGGTGGCGAGGAGAATTTAGAACCAAACAGCGAGATGCTGCTTTCGCATCCATCAGATGAAGGAAAATGGAAAGGACAGTCTGGTGTTGATGCAGGAAAGTGGGCATTGCTACTGGGAAGATAAATCACGTTTCTTGCTTTGGAAAGTAGTTTGAAAAGAGCTATTCAAAGGAATAGCATACAGACCTTTGACCTAACACTCTCCTCTGGGGATCTATCCTAAAGAGATCTGTGTAAGGATATTGATTGGACCATTGTTAGACAGTTGTCACAGGGGAATGGGTGAATCAAGTATGGCATATCCACACTATGGGATATTATGCAGCGTTTAAAAAGATAAAGTTACATTTATGTTTATTGACTTGGAAGGAAGGATGATTTTTTTTAAATATATGAAGCAAATTCAGACTAATTTTATGGCATAATTGTGTTTTACGATAACGAAGCACAAGTGCTTAAAAAAATCAAGTGCATTTTTCATTTGTTACAATGATCACACTTTACTTTTATAATTTAGAAAAGAAAACCAGAAGGCAGTTGTCACACAGAGCCCTGAGACTCCAAGACCACAGGGACTACAGATGAGAGTCACCTGCCTTTGTGGGTCGGTGGCTTTCCTCTGGGCAGTGGGGTCAGGACATCACACATCGAAGGGACTGAGCAGTGGGCAGCCATGTGGTTTCCTGGCATCCAGCGATGTCCTCTGCCAACCTCCAGCTCACCCTTTACTCTGTGGCCATAGTGATGTTTCTAAAATGTCATCGTTATGCTTGACATGTGGGGAGGGTTTACATATTTCCTCATAGCTTTCAGGGTAAATTTCAGCTCCTCTGCTTCCCCAGGCCATCTGGGACCCGGCCTCTGGCATACCTCCAGGCCTGTCCCCTGCCATCTGTCCCCAGGCAGGACTCCCATGTGTTCACCTTTAAGCAGGGTTACCTGTGATGGCTGATGCTCTTGCACACACTGCTCTGGACGACCTGTCCCCTCCTGACTCTCCCTGCCTGGTGTTGCTCGCCCTCCAGGTCTGTCCCCTGCCATCTGTCCCCAGGCAGGACTCCCCTGTGTTCACCTTTAAGCAGGGTCACCTGTGATGACTGATGCTCTTGCACACGCCGCTCTGGACGACCTATCTCCTCCTGACTCTCCCTGCATGGTGTTCCTCACCCAAGCTGAGCATTGTCCTTCCCAGGGTGTCCCTGTTGTCCCCCTGACTTTGTGTAGAGACTGCTAGGCCCCCACAGCACCCGCGTCCTGCTCAGTAAACTTGGAGCCTGGAGATCGTGCCTGTGATTTCTGCATCTGGCATTTCACGGGTTTCTTCCATGAATGGAACAGCTTCTTCCAGGTGCTTAGTTGGCTCTTCCATTATCCATTTTGAGCTTATTTTCCTGGTGTGTAATAGTATCACACACTGAGACCATCAGTGCTGAATGGCAGAGCAGCAAGGGGTTCACCACATAGATTATGACGTCTGTTCTGTCCCGGGAGCCTGGGGGCACAGTCATGTGCCTGTTAGTCTCCATGGCCTTAACTTGGAAACATCCACCCTTCTCCCTCACGACCCCTAACTGGGGAATCTATAGGCCTGTCTGACTCACAGGCAGCCAGACAATGTCATGATATCCCAGTGACGTCCAAACATAGGAGGGGCCCCACATCCGAGCTGCAGAGAAAACGGCAGGAAATGGGCTATTGCGTATCCGTAAGAGGGAAGGAAGAGTCCCTGCCTTGAAGCAAAGGTGAGGACAAGGGATGACATTGATTCTTACTCTACAGATATCCTATCTACAGGGGGCAGTGGCTGCAGAAAATGAGCCCTCCGCTTATCTGCAGAAACTAAACAGCCAGGTGGTGCAGCTCCCAGTCTAACCTTTGATTATACTAACTCAGAAAGTCTCAGGAGGAATCTTGGTGCTGAGAGCAATGCTCAGAAGGTGCTCACGAGACCATGTCACTTCTGTGACTCATTATGATGGTCATGACATGATAGAACATGGACAGCAGGGTGGGAGCCCCACCTGCCATCCCCATTAGGGGGTGACAGTCCAAGGGCTCAGTGTCTGTGGTCCGAGCCACCTGCTGTCAGGCTTAACTCAGGTCTGTTTCATGAAGTCTGAACCATCATGCCAGACCCCACTGTTGTCACATTTGGCGCTGAACTTGGGGATATCCCTTCCCTTGGGGAGCCTCCTTGATTAGTCCTGGTTTAAGCCAGAGGCCTCTTCCTTGCTGATACCTGTCTGGGGACTTGAGGGCAGCAGGAGACATTCCATCATGATTTAGACATGAACCCCTAAAGAAAGCTGCTGATCACAGCTGAATTGTTTGGGGTTTACTCTGAACAGATGGCCCTGGGCTGTGACCCCTGCCTGGCACCACATCAAAATACACATTTAGAAGCTTAACCATACACAATGGCCACCTTCCTAACTGTAATGTAAATGTCCCCGTGGGAATTTTGGAGGAGTACCGGACAGCTCTCTAGATGGTACTCAGCAGTGAGAGGAAATGGCTGGGAACATCTGTGATTATTCTACATCACAGTTATTGATCACAGGCCCTGCGTGGCTCATCAGAGGCACAGGAGCTATGGGGCTCAAGCTCTGTGCCCTGAAGATGCGTTCACCTCGTGCGGGTCTGAAACAGGCACATCAAACACGTAGGATCCTTTCTCAGAATAAATGTCTTAGAATCTTGGGAATAATACATGTTTATTATAAATATGCAGAAAAGTAGAAGAAAATGATCAGCTGGTACAGACCACAGCTGGGGGCTGCTTCAGTTGTCTAAGTCGGGCTATGGAAATGGTGAAAAGAAGAGATATGGCCATTGCAATGATAACGTGGCTTGTGTTTGTTCACCTGCTTCCTGCGGCTCCCTCCTTTCATTCTTAGTCATTTTAGTTTAAGGTGCAGGCTTCTTTCCACGTTACCAATAAGGAGCTGGAGGCAGAGAGAGGTTCAGCTCCTGGCATTAAGAGATGACTTGTAAGCACATTAAATATAAGATAACAGAAGGTGGTAAGATGTAAGGGAAGGCTGGTTCCAGAGGAGGGAGCTATTAATTGAGAGCATTGCACATGGGTCTACAATTGCAGCAGCTACTACGCAGAGGTGATCTTAGCTCAGGACCCTGCACTAGAGCCTGGGGCTTGGTATGAGAAGGAGAGGCAGGAAGATGGGCCAGTCTGGGCGTGGGGATCAGCTAGCTGCTGAGGAGGGTGCACAGGGAGGCGGGCACTGGGTTTTGGAGAATCTTTCATGGCATGTTAGAAATCTGGTGTTTTCTTAAAGGTGAAGGAAGATGGCATGGGTCATCACTCAGGAGTATGGCACAGTCTTAATCGTGTTATTCTGCTAGCAGTGAACTAACTTGAATTATTGCTTCAAAAATCAGTGCAATAAAATTGCTGGTTCGTCTCCTGCAGTCGGCTGCGGTTGGCATCGTCCCTGGTTTTTTGATATTGCAGCATGTGAGGGGAACCAGGTTATGCAAAAAGTCAGGGTCACCAGGGGCCACAGAGCAGTACCGGCCCCGTGTTGCTGGTGTGCCAGAGAGAGTGACAAAGGGAGATGGGACAGGCTGGAGGAGGGTCCCCTGATAGCTTCTGGTCTTGCAGTTCATTCTAAAATTTGTTCACTGTTTTCCGGCTGACGTTTTCTTTGGGCATTTTTTGCAGACGTTGCATTCTGTTTGGTTGATCAGTCTTTCTATTTTGGTTTTTATTACCAAATGGCTTTGATTATTGAAGTTTTTTTTTTTTTTTTATCATTTTAACATCTGTTGTACAAGGTCCCTTCATTATTCTTATTCAAAACTTTCCTGGCTTTTCTTGTGCATTTAATTGTTAGAGGAGCCTAATAGGCTCATTTTATGAATCCTTCCTTTCTTCTTCAAAAAAAAAAATCTGTGAATTTGGTTGTGATGATGTTAACTTTGTAGGAACATCTAGGGAGAGTTGGCGTCTAACCATCCAGGAAAAAAATGATATCATCTTTATTCATTCGAATATATGTAGTTTTTCAGTAAAGTTTTATGGTTTGTTTCATATGGGTCTGGTGGATTTCTATTTAATTTATTTCCAGCTGTTTATGGTTTTGAGAGAGGTATTATTTCTCTCTTTTTTTTTTTCAGGGACTACTTTTTGGTATGTAGAAAGGATTTTAAAGTTTTGCCTATTTATTTTGGAACAAGTCTCCTTACTCAATTCTTTTTCCTTTTCTTTTTATCGTGTTATAGAAGGTTTCCCCTCCCTTTTTTTTTTAATTTATTAAGCTCCTTTCTTCTTTTTTTTTTTCCTAATCAGAAAGTGATGCTGACTGTTGCCAGAAGACTTCCTAACAACTGTTGAAATGATATTTTTCCTTTTGATCTAGTCTGATGATGAATTATACAGATGATGAATTATCTAAATGTTCTTAATATTTAGTCATTCTTCTATTCTGTGGTCACAGAATATTATTCCTTTAACGTACTTCTGGATTTCATTACGTACAAAGCTATCTGAATCCCGAGCATCTGTCATTTCTTAGTAACATTTCCAGTCTCAGTAAATTTCTGGAGTTCTGTTCCTCTGTGGGGCTCCTGCTCCCAGCTCCTCTCCTGCTTAGCTGGTTGTAGAGGGGACCTCAGCTGTCACCGCAGATCTGCAGGCAGCTGGGCATTTGTCTGGCACAGGACTCTGAGGGCACGAGTCTCCCTGGAGAAGGGAAAATTGCAGAATTCTGTCTGGGAAGATGGCAGGTGGTCAGTGGTAGGCAGGGATGTCTGAGAACCGTCTGTGTTGGGCAGGTGAGACCCTGGGCATGAGGGACATTCTCTAAGCCGCCCTGATGCTTTGCTGAGAGGCGTGTGCAGGTGCCAGCGCCAGAAAGCCCTTCTCCACAGGGTTGTCTCTCCTTTACAGAATTTGAAAACAATGTCTGAAGAATGTAAAATTTATTTTAACAAAGAAGTTTGAAGCAAGGCTCAATTACAAGTCTCCCCTGGAGAGCCCTCGTGTCTATTGTGCTGAGTCCAGAATTCACTTGAGAGAAAAAGAACATTCTGGAAGCTGCTGTCATGCGGGGAAGGTGGACCTCAGCGTGGCTGACCCTAGAACGGGGTTTATGCAGGTGGCTTTGAAGTATTCGTGGCCACTGATCAGCTGGCTCCCCCAGCCCCCATCTGGGAAAGGAATGCTGTTCACAGGACCCACCTTGCCCTGGAGGCACAGTGGGAGCTGCTGTTCCAACAGGAGGTCCCTGTAGTCAACTGAGTTGTCCTGAAAAACTCATGGGATGGAGCCCTTTGAAATAGAGAGTAATACAAACGAAAGGCCTTAATGATGGGACAGCCCTGAGTGCAGACTCTCTGTGAGGGCTGGTGAGGGTCTCGTCTTGGAAAACAGGGATGGAAGGAAGCAGAGTCCAGAGATGCTGCCCCCTCCACTCCTCTCTGCCTTAGGTCATGGGCTGCACAGAAACAGGTGGGAGGTTGGCCTTGGCCTCTGCATTGCAGTTTGCCAGCCTCTGTTCTAGGTGACCTGGCAGTTACGAGCTGATTTTCCCTGACTCTGAGCAAAGAGTTAAAAGCTATAGCAAAGCCTCCTACTCTGTGGACCTTTCTCGGGCCCTGTCCCACTCTGAGGTCTCTGAGTAAGAGAGGGAGTCCCAGCTGCCTTTCCAGAGGGCTAAGAACCCTAAACATTGTTTCTTCCACTAGGACTACTACTTCTTTTTGGATAGAACCTCAGAAAACATTTGATGTGGTAAAACGGATGCTGTTGGTTTTTTACGTTTGAGTTTAGGGCAGTGAGTATAACCCATTTTGGGCTAGACATATAAATGTTATTACTACTTCCAGGGACAGCAATTTGATTGGTGATAGTTGTTCTGGACTTCATTCATCTAGGGTGTGCTGTGGTCCTGAGTCATGGCAGTGGCAAAGGCAGGCAGCCTCCTTAGTAGGCATCAGGCCAGCTGTGGACTAGGGAGGCAGTGGCAGTGCTGGCGGTGGCCTCAGAGCATCCTGGAGAAGGGGAAGCAGCACAGGCTGACTGCCAGATGCAGTTGGCTTCACTGTCCTGCATTGCAGCCCTGGCTGTTTTTCATCCAAAAAAATCTACAACTCAGGAGTGACGTGAGGATCAGCCAGTAACCATTTTACACACCTAGTATGGGAGCTTCCGTGTACAGGCAGTCCCTGAGTTACAGACATCTGACTTAGGTATAACTTGTACTTATAAATGGAGGCTATGACAGGTAATAGGGAAGTTCACCTGTTCCAGCTTGCAGACAAATTCAGCTTAAGAACAAACCTGCAGAACCCTTCTGACTCCCCACTGGGGACTGCTTGAAGCAGATGTTCAATAAACACGGTCCCTGCTCTCTGAAGGCTTCACCCTGCTTCAGAGCCACTTGCTTCAAAGGTCTGCCTTGCTCAGCATCCAGGACCCAGTGCTGACCCCAGAGATGTTCTATTTACTATAAACACCAAGACAAATAAAGCTAACCTTGTAGGCAAAGCCGTAACCACTGTCCGCACAGGTTGGTGTTCTGAGCAGGTGTCTGACCTCTTCTTAGTTTCAGTTATTTAAGTCTTAGACTGAAACGTACCAGAGTGTAAGAACAAGGTCCCACAGCAAAGGCAACTCTTAGCTCTGCCTGGTCTCTCCATGTTGGTTTGGCCTCTGAAGACATGACCCAGAATTTGGAGAATGTAACACTCTCCTATTCAGGGTCTGCCTGTAGATTTCAAATGGGTTACTGCTGCCGCTTTGGCTCCTGAAGGGATGATTTGATATTAGCAATAAACGTGTCTTGGGATGGTTGAACTTCACACATTGTAAATGCTTTGTAGTTATTCAAGATGCCAAGCTAGCAAATATTCCTTTTGAAATAGCATCACTTAAACTATTCCACATAACATCCTGCAGGGTGGTTTTGTGACGCTGGGCCAGATGGCGGGGTCCAGATCTTGGCTTCCACAGTTCCTACTTGAGGGACTCAGCCAGCTTGCCCTTGATGCACCTCAATGTCCCAAACTGCTAACTGTGGATGGTCACAGGGCTTAACTTCACAGAGTTGTTTGTAGAGTAAACCCATTCATTTAAGCAGACTGCTTAGAACAGTGTTTGGTATATGTGTGTAATAAGTTTTAGCTATTTTATGGTTTTGGTTTAATTTATAACTAAAAAAAATCATTGATATATATGGCAGTTTTGGCATAGGACACAAAGTAGATCTTTTATAATTATGTAAGTAATTCATAGTCACGCACAGAGCTGGCAAGGCGAATGGAAAACAGAAGAAAGAGTGTCCTGCGTGGGATGCCGAGACGGTCACTGTTCGGGGTCAATCTATTAATTGTGATTTTCCCAGTGAGGTCATGGGGTAATTACAAGTTCAAGTCCAGTTATTTTTACTTAACATATATGATAAGCATTATTCGTAATCCTCATTTGTAATGGCTGCATAATGAATTCATTCTGATTAACCATAACGTTTTCCTTAGAGTTAAACATTTAGGTTGTCTTTTCCCTCGGGGTGGGAGGATTACCTACAGTGCTGTGGGCAACAGCCATGAGTATATACGTACATCCATTTGTGTAATGTTTCCTCAGTATCTCCTTTATTCTTAGGTTAAATTCCCAGAGGTAAGGGCAGTGGGTCACAGGGATGAAGGCTTTCAAGGCCCTTAGTAAGTACTAAGCAGCTGTTTATAGTTAAACGTGGATGAGGGGCAAACTTTCCCAGGAGGGTCGACATCTTTGGGCTCTTGGTATCTAACACAGTAACAACAAATGAGAAAAGAAAATCTTTGGACGATCTAGAAATAAAAATAATGTTGCCTGATTCTTTGTAGCTTCTGGTTATTAGCCCTTGTCAGCTTTATAACATGAGAATATCTTCTCCCATTCTGAAGGTCGCCTGTTTGCTTTGTTTATCGTGTCCTTAGCTGTGCAGAAGCTTTTAAGCCTGACTAGGTCACGTTTATAAGGTCGAGAAATAAAAATAATTTTGACGTTCATTGAATTTTTTTTTTGTAATCACCAAAACAAACAAACAAACAAACAAACAAACACATTTATAAGGTCTGGAAATAAAAATAATTTTGAAGTTCATTGAAATTTTTTTTTTTTTTTTTTTGGTGATTACAAAAAACCCCCAAACCCTCAAAGCCAAGCACACGTTTATCTAGCCCAGCATGAATGGAGGACGGCCGGGTGCTGAATGGTGCTGGCCCTTCTATTCAGGGTGGACTCTTCTTCCCTGTCTGGACTTAAGCGATTATAGCGATAGCTTACTACCAGCATCGCTGCATTTGATGACCAAATGCTGCGGTGCATGGAGCGCTAAGCCTCGGCCTTCTGTCCCCTCTTGCCAGCTACACCGTGGGCACCGTGCAGGAGAACAACGACCAGGTGTGGAAGTTCCAGAGGTACTTCCTGGTGCAGGAGTACTGCAGCCGCCTCAACATCCCCTTCCCTTTCGTGGTCTTCGCCTACTTCTACATGGTGGTGAAGAAGTGCGTCGGCTGCTGCTACAGGAAGCGGGGCGCCGAGTCCTCCCTCTGCTGTGAGTGCATTCTCCCCCGCGCCGGGTGGAAGCAGTGAGTTAGCTCTGGGAAGGATGCCCGCTCTCAACAGGAAGGAATGACTCAGGGTTACTTCACCGCGCACATCTGTGCCTCGGACCCGGCGTCCAGCCAGCTGTGACATACGAAGCAGGGAAAGTAGGTTAAGGCAGCAGGCTGGGTCTGCTGGATGAGGCAGAGAGAGTAGATCAAGGCGGCAGGGTGGGTCTGCTGGATGAGGCAGGGAGAGTAGATCAAGGTGGCAGGGTGGGT